TTTGGGCTGGAAAGTGGGCCATAGCTATTGTTTAGACGCTGCTCTGTCTGCCACTGTTTCTGATTTCTAGTTGATTTCAAGCCTACTGCCTCCTCTGTGCTTGTCTTGGTTGCTCCAGCAACATGGATGTAATTTCCTGTTGTATTTTTCTGCTGATAAGATAAAATAAGAAAAAAAAAAACCATAAACACCAGCCAGATGATAAAGGCAAAGATAAGTCTTTGGTTTAATATGAGCAGTTTCGAAGAAATTCATTTCAGGCAAAAGAGGAACACCCAGATCTCTGTTGAAAAAGTTCTGTATTTGGAAAAGACTCTTGTGTTGATTCAGGCTATCAGAAGAAATTTTGTTAAAAATATTAATGACCAAGACTAGTCCTTAAAAATATAGTAAAGCACAGGCAGACATCAATATAGACCCCAAATACATAAACATGCACAAAATGTCACAGCATTTATCTCTGTGCATATAAAGAAAATGATTGTTTTATACAGAGAAGATTCATATTTTTTTCATATTTTCATATTTTCCAGTCTGTTGGTGACTGGAGAGATAGGTCAGTGGGCAACAGAGCTTTCATAACCATGAGTGTAGTTGGTTGTTTTCACTCTTTGCTCTTTTGAGGGGCCTGCCACCCAGCTCCCATAATCATATGGAGACTTTCTCTTTCTGATGAATGTCCAGCCTTAGCTTCGCTTATTTTTAGCTAGCTTTTTAAAAAATTATCCCAACTGCCTTTTGCCTCTGAACTTTTACCTTTCTCTATTCTATATACCTTTCTTTACTTCTTATTCTGTGACTTGCTGTGTAGCTGGGTGGCTGGCCGCTTGTGTCCTCTTTCCTTTTCTCGATCTTTGATCTCCTCTTCCCAGATTCCTCCTTCTATTTATTCTCTCAGCTGCCAGCTCCACCTATCCTCTCTCCTGCCTAGCTATTGGCCATTCAGCTCTTTATTAGACCTATCAGGTGTTTTAGACAGGCAAAGTAACATAGCTTCACAGAGTTAAACAAATTCAGCATAAAAGAATGCAACACATCTTTGCACCATTAAACAAATATTCCACAGAATAAATGAATGTAACACATCTTAAAATAATATTCCACAGCACATGAGGACCTAAGTTTGGATCTCAGTACCCACATAAAAAGCTAGGCATGGCCATGCATACTTTTACCTCCAGCCTGGTGGAGTGGACACAGGTGACTCACTGAGGCCTACCAGTCTAGCTCCAGGTTTAGGGAGAGACTATCTCAAAAGTATACAGCAGAGAGTGATAAAGCTTGACACCTGGCATCCTCCTCTGACCTCCAAGAGTGTGCACATGGGTTCATGCACCCACATACATGGGTGTACATAGCACACACACACACACACACACACACACACACACACACACACACACGCGCGCGCACATAGACACACTCGCACACACACACACACATGTGCGCGCACATAGACACACTCGCACACACATGCACACACACACACACACACACTTTCCTTAAAACTGAAACAAAACATATATTTAACATCAACTATTCATTATTATATTGGTCTTCAAGTTTACAGTGACCTCCTGTATTCCTGTGAATAAATGTATTATAGGATTAATTCACACTTATTTCAAACTTGAAGCATTCTAATTCATTTCAAATTTAAGCATCAATAATTGATATATTCAAGTATTAATTTATGATGACATACATACAAATATTCATAAGTCATGGTAAAATATATTATTATTTCTGAGAAGATATGCCCCAAGTTAAATATTTAAAATTTTGTTACTTCTTCAGTGCAGTCACCTTGAAAGACTATCCTTCTGGCAATAATTCAGCTATTTTGGGAGGTCCCTCACAGAATAGGAATTAAAATGATATTTTATAATTTCACTAGTCCCAAGAGAACACTGGCTCTAATACTTATCACCAAACCGCACTGAGTCCAAACTGTATTTACCTGCCTGACATATTATTTGCCTTACTTTCATGCTATGCCTTGAATAATTTTGATTTTATCTATATAATAATATAACATCAGACAGGAACTTTCTATGTGTCAAGTCAGGTATGAAATATTCCAAATAAGTCTCTAAAATATTCTGAACCTTGGTAGCTTCTTAACATTGAGTGAATGTCATCCTCTCCCAAGGAGAGCTCTTTCATTGTGCTAAATTAGATATTTTTAATATAAAAGAATTCAAATTATTATCTAGTCATATCATGTGTGCCCAGGAACATTTTCTTTAAACATATGACTCTGTGGATTTTTTTGTTGTTATTTGTAACTGTTGTAAAAACAAAACTTTTTCTGGGAAGATGCCACACATTTACTCACCCCAAATAGGGAACCCACACCAGACCAAAGTATGAATGCCACCAAAGTCCTGGTGTAGAAACCAGGAGCACACCGCACAGCCTGCACAGAGCTCAAAAGGTTGGAGAGTAGTGTCTTTTCCAAGTGACTCTGGTCTAAACCTCTTCCAGGCAGCTCAGCTGGTTTCTGCTTCTTCCAGGAAGCTGGTCTGGTCTCAATCTTCTTTCCACATCTGCTTCACTTTTTCTGAAGAGGAATTTCAGCTTTTATTGCTTATTCTGGCTGGCAGGGAGGGGCCTAGTGAACCTGGTCAGCTTCAGGGACTTCCTGGAGCTATTTGGAGTTGTTTACCTTCTTGCTTAATGAGCTTCCCTGTAGTATGAAATATTTCAATCTCAGATGAAACTGTTACATGACAGCAAGTTCATTTGGATACTGAGCTTAGCAAGGCAGCTGAGATCTTAGAAGACAAACCAATTTATGGTGGTTTGAATGTAAATGGTCCCCATAGGTCCTTAGGGAGTGGCACTATTAGGAGGTGTGGCCTTGTTGGAGTAGGTGTGGCCTTGTTGGAGGAAGTGTGTTGCTGGGGTTTGGGCTTTGACTTTTTCAAAGCTCAAGCCGGGCCTACTGTCACTTTTTCTTCCTGCTGCCTGCCAATCCAGATGCAGAACTCTTAACTCCTCTCCAGCACCTTGCCTGTCTGCATGCGAACATGCTTTCTGCCATGCTTATAATGGACTAAATCTCTGAACTGTAAGCCAACCCCAATTAAATGCTTTCCTTTATAAGAGTTGCTGTGGTCATGGTCTCATCACAGCAATAGAACACTGACTAAAACAAATACATCTTGGTGTTTATCTTTTAACTTCTTATTAGAACTTTGCTGAGTACCTGGACTTCTGTCACATCATACTGATGAGGAATGTAATGTGTTATAATTGGAAATGTTTTAAAACCAAGACTTTCATCATTTTTAGTAATTAAACAAATAAGAAATCCTATTTAGAAACTATTAGTGTTAGGGTCCTGGAGAAGTCCCACAAAAAAAAAAATCACCATTCATGTACGCAATTAGCAAGAGCATTTACAAGAGTAAAGGTATCAGCATTCTGGCATATTAGTATGTTTTAATTGGCAACAGGAGTTAGCTAGGGCTGCAGTTTCCCCAGTTTTGGGCAAGTCTTGTCAAGTCCCAGGCTCTGTCCTTATTTGGTTATTGCCTTGAGATACTGTGGGGGGATGGCTCAGTGGCCCAGGCTTGGTATATGCTATCCCCCTCATCCCTGCTCTCCGGTGCATTGAGGATTGATTGCCCCATTGTTTGTGGTTCTTTCAGGAACTGCTTGCTCAGTCTCAGGAAACTGAAACTGCGGCCTGGTCTCTGACAGAAGACTGAGCAGCCTGTCATGGTGTCTGCTTGGTCCTCTCACTAATATTAATTGTTTCCTCTTAACCATACTAATGGAGAAGTACACCTGCCCTATTATTACAAGGATTGCTGAGCATATAACTTCCAACACTGGAAAGAGGAGATCAATATCGTCCTATATGTAAATGCCCACGTTTCCAGGCAGTTTGACACTTCACCCCATGCCAGACCACACGGAGGTTGCTCTTAGAATAGAGAAATAAGCATGGGTTTAGGGAGGCAGACTTTGAAAGGTAGAGTAGGGTAAGTAAAAATTTCCACAGGGGGATTGATGGGCTTGTTTAAATAATCCCCCAGACTGGCAGGGAATCGAAACCCATTACTCACAGATAAACAGATACTAGATCTTGTCCCTGTTATAGGAGGATTGTCAGAGGACCTAAGCCAGGGTGCACAATGGAAGGAAATTTGTGATTAGGACACTAGTGCCCCTTATGTCAAGGTTCCCATAGTGTTGGTTCTTAATAAGCCCATGGTAATGTGCAAAAGACAGTGAACTAACTCCTATAGTAACCACAAGCATCTGTTATAAACAATGTTTTCCTTTGGAAGTAAACGTAAAGGATGTATGTAAGTCTACTAACTGTGAAACAGTATTTAAGACTCGTATGTGCAATATAAATGCGATGAAAGATACAAGAAAGTCCCAAGTCATCAGAGGAGCAGGGACCACCATTGCCCATGCAATAACGTCTGATGAGGGCCAGGGTGAAAGTTAGGCTAGATCTTATGGAGCAGGCAATTTCACCAGATAAAGATAAGAAGACAGTACAAAGGCAGGAAGAAAGGCTAGAGAGATCAGTTAGAAACAGGAAAGCAAAGAACAGTATGAGGTGTCAAATGGTCTACATGAAGCACAGAACGCCTAGAAAAGGGGGAATGTGTGATTTGATTTAATTTAAGGTAATAGGAGCCAAAGGAAGTTCTGGACTGAGCAATGGAGAAGTCACAGCTGCTGCCGTTTAATCTGGGGTGGACTAGGGAAGGGTCTTGAGTGATGTCTAGGGGGGGTGACCAGGCTAAGGCAGATGGGAAGCAGGTATGTAACAAATCAAGAAGTTCTGAACTAGGACTGCACATGCAGGTCGCAGGTGAGTATGACCTGGGGGTGGGGAGAATTGGTATTTGAATAGGGGGAGATTCTATTGCTTGTGTTCTGAGGCAGGGAAACCGACTCAGATTGTTTACTGTGCAATGTAGGACAAAGGATGTGATGGGTAGAGAATAATTACTTTCCCAACCTACTTAGAATTTAATTTGCTGAAGGACCTCATATTTATTAAAAGATTTTACACCTCCACAGCACTTGAGAAATAGTGAAGATCCTAAAGAAATCATTGTTCCCTCCACAGTGGTCCAGTTTCCCAATCCAGAATGTGGAATCTGCTTGTTTTATGTAAAACTTCCATTCAGTACAAAGTCAGCATCATCTTCACTGGTGACCAGGGAGCAGGGATCCTCAGGTGTGGAAGATGGCTCTGGATACACCTAGATGTGTCGGTCAATCACTCGAGGTGATCTGTGGATTCAATCAAGGAACACAGTTAAATGTTTAAAAATATACAGCATATTGAATACACAAACTATTTACTACCTGTGGAGGCTGATAAACTTGACTACATCTGGAATCAACTTAATCCCAAGCAGCTGGCACAGTGATGTGAGATTTTCTTGACTGGGTCATTTCAAGTGGGAAGACCCACCCTAAATGCGGGCCACACCTGGTGGCAGGTCAAGTGAAGGTGCAAGAAGGAAGGAAGCTTTTTGCTTTTACCGATTTTTTTTCTCTCTTGCTTGCAAGTTCATCTGTCCTGTTGTTGAGTCATTCCTTCACTGGTGTTAGAACATACTACTTCAGGATTCCAATGTAAACTGAAGAACAGCTGAGACATCCAGTCTCCTGAACTGAACAACTATCAGATTCTAGATCTTTCCATCAGGAAATAGCCATTGTACGTAGAAAATGCATATATGTATTAGATATCTATCTACCTATACATATATTCTATCTATCTACATCTATCTATACATATATGTCTATATATAAATATAGAATGCATATATATTAGAAATCTTTGTATGCATATATTCTCTCTACCTACATCTATCTATCTATACATATATGTCTATATATAAATATAGAATGCATATATATTAGAAATCTTTGTATGCATATATTCTCTCTACCTACATCTATCTATCTATACATATATGTCTATGCATTGATATATAGATATAACATTAGGAATTATGTGCTGAATATATATGCATGTTTTAATGCATCTTTGTGCAACTGTCACTACCAACTTTGTTTTGTTTTTCAAGGCAGGGTTTCTCTGTATAGCATTGTGCCTTTCCTAGAACTCACTCTGTAGCCCAGGCTGGCCTTGAACTCACAGAGATCCACCTGGCTCTGCCTCCTGAGTGCTGGGATTAAAGGTGTGGGCCACCACCTCCCAGCTCACTACCAACTTGTTTAAACCAACATCACCATCAACATGTGTCTGGTGTGCTGCATAGTACCTGGGCCATGAAGTCAACAGACTTTGGTAGTTTTTCAACTCCATTATAATTTCAGGGGACCACTATTGTCCCATTGTTATATGAGACAGAATTATGCATATATGATATATTACCTAAGTACCTTAGAATTTTTTTTCCTAGTGCTCTGTGCACTGAGATCACTATAAGTTTCATAAGCACAGAAAATGCATCTGACTTGCCTACCAGCAGCCTTCAGCATATAATAAGTACCTGTTTAGAAGGCATTGCATACATGTTTATTGATCCACTGACAACTGATTTTCTCTAGCAGTTTGTCACTAACAATGTATTTCTAGTTAGTATACATTATTTTGGTTGTTGCCATGACCAGGAGCTAAGACTACACACACACACACACACACACACACACACACACACACACACACACACACACGTACGTACATACATACACACACACACACACACA